GTTTCATCAAAGCAGCAATACACTCATTTAAACCAGACAGGTCACAAAAATAACATTTCAGCAATCAGCATTGAAACATGTGCTATTGTAAATATTTTTGCCGACTTACAAATTAGTGAGATACATGTGCCTGTCGGGGCGCGCAGATTTTTTTTATCCTTGGTGGCACTGAGGAGAGGGCCACTCGCAAGTCCTGTTCAACAGAGAGCCGTGAGTTCCGTGACCTCCTGTTGTTCTTCATGTAAATCAGAGTAGAGAACGCCAACTCCAGAGATGGGGTCGTTACTAAACATTTTTAATATATTACATATTACTTTAAAAAAAGTAATATATTACACTACTTCGTTACTATCTACATAAAGTAACTCGTTACTTTACTCGCCGAGCACGTACGAACTTGCGCATGCCTGAGTGGCAATAACTTTCCTTACCAGCAGGCGGCGGTAGTGTGTATTTGTCATTCAAAACAGGCAACAACCGGAAAACAGAGAAGAAGAACAGACGACGTGATATAAACAAACAACAAATAGCTGTGCGGTAGCTTCACCTTAGCATGTGTTCTTTGCAGGTGCTTGTTGAGGTTTGACGTGGTGTTTACAGCAGTGGATAACAGCTTCTGGCCTGGACACAGTTTGCACCTCACCGTCACATTCCTGTCTATTCTTCGGACAAACTCAAAATAATGGGCATACCTCCCACCCCTCGAAAGTTATCGCTGACTCAGCCATGTTTATGCAGCACTGCACGTGGAGATGTGGACGCGCAAGTCGCGCAGATTACGTACATATAAACCTACAAAGTACTGATATTATAGTAAATAAAAAAAATATTATTTTTGTGTAGTTGTATATTGCAATAATAATGTATGGTTGTCACAAATCCCACGGCACACCCGGACTTGCCTCACGGCACACCAGTGTGCCGCGGCACACCGTTTGGGAACCACTGCGCTAGATTCTCCACCATTAATCCTCCAGTTCATTTTAGGGAAACCATTGGCAACAAAGTGTAGATCCTTCAGATGAGAAGAGAAAAGACACAAAGTGATTTCTCACTACCTTTGAAGCCGTAATAGTTGGAATATGTGTCCGTTTCCTTCGCATTAATATTATTTTAGTCAGGTAATTGGCAGTGATGCCTTCTACAATTTGGTGACCAGATTTTCAAAATGAAAACCGGGGACATTTTGAGTTTTGCGGTCAACATCTGATTAACATATCCAATTTTCTTCACTGTTAAAGAAAAAAGGGAGACAATTCTGGTTCAATGTAATTCGAACATTTTAACTGTTGGATACAAACAGAAGGAAAGACTACGGAGCCCCCTAGGGGACATGGAGAAGAACAATTTTTTTTTTTGAAAACAAATAAAAATAAAATGTTTTGCGAGATCTCGCAAAACCTTTGCGAGATCTCGCAAAACCTTTGCGAGATCTCGCAAAACCTTTGCGAGATCTCGCAATACTTTTGCGAGATCTCGCAAAACCCCGTTGCAGTTTGTAGACGGTCCCTAAGCACTCCTCTCCCTCCTCCAGCTGCGGATTGTGACAAATTATTGATGTTTAGCTCGGATGACGGCGCGTATCGAACTGTTCTGATACAAACGACTCTGTAGCTCGTTGTCTACCTTGCTATGATTGTAAAGTCATGTTGTTTGTATTTTTACAACGTTATGTTCATGAGTTATTGATCCGCGAAATTCGAATCTGTCAATAACTCAGCTCAGAGGAACGTGCACGTCCCCTCGCTCCGAGTGTTTTCTTGAGGTGTCTTCACTTATGTGAAACCCTTTATATATACAGTCTATGTGTGAAACCCGTGCTTATTGCCAAGCACTGATGTTATATCTTTATATTTAAGGCCAAGCTCAAAGTAAAATCGATGAACCACTCCATTGTTGTGGTTTCTGTGTTGCCGTAGCAGCCGAACTGACCAGGAAGTACTAAATGAAAAGTATTGCGAGATCTCGCAAAGGGGTTTTGCGAGATCTCGCAAAAGTATTGCGAGATCTCGCAAAGGTTTTGCGAGATCTCGCAAAACATTTTTTTTTTTTTTTCTGTTCAAATTATTTATTTTTTTCTTCTCCATGTCCTCTAGGGGGCTCCGTAAAAGACAGCTCATATATGAGACTTCAAAGGTATTTTATTTTGAAACTCTACATCAGATTGTCCGGATTTTCTCTGATTGACTAGATGGGGTCTCCTGCTATCACCCTGAAATGAAATAAGTATTTGATTGACTTCGAATGACTCTTTGATTATGGACAGTTTCCAATAAATAATAATCAAAATATAGATGGATAATAGATCTAATTTTAGATTTTAAACAGCATACATTTTAAATTGTGCTTCAGAAAGTAATGTTATTTTAGGAATGTTGTGAGATGGTGTCAACATAAATTAAAACTAGAGAATGCAATTCCGGAAGAAATTGCTCGTGGGAATGCTTTATGCTGAAAATCTGAAAAAAAAAAGCTGACGCTAAACTGCTATGCTGAAATGAAATGTGTAAGAAGAAAGTGAATAATTTAGATTGAAATGATAGAAGAACACTGGGGGCTTGAATGTGTGATGAGAGAAGAAAAGAAAGTAAAAAGGCTTGGAAAAGCAGCAGAATATTTGAACTGCAAACTTCTGAACTAACTTGATGGCGAATGATCTGTCGCCATGGCAACAGCATTTGATGACACCCCATACTACGCTTAGATTCGTTGATGGCTGCATCGTTACCAAACCTGTGAAGTTCTGGGCTGTTTGGAGTATTTTCACTGAAGTTATGAGAAAACCGTGTTTCAAGGCGAGCATTGTGTTGCCATGGCAATGGCATTTGAAGAACTCTCAAAAGTGTCCCGTAGATGTCTTCACGGCTGGACTGTTAGCACACTGCTATCTGAAGTCTGCTGCTCTGAGCATGTCAGTTGGAGTGATGACATCATCGTGTTCCATTACACAGGTGTTTATATTTGAACTAACGAGCTCTGTAGAGATCACAGGTTTCCATTGTTCTGAATGAGATGAACCTCTTACATGTGGACGTTTTGTGGAAGAACCGTAACAGATATCTGGGAAATTTCAAAACGTGAAGCATGTCAAGGAAGTTGAGTATCTGAAGTGTAATGTTTGTGTACTTTCAGGTCAATAATGTGGCCTTTTTGGCAGTTTAGCTAAAGGTATGCGGCTGCTACCGTGAGGAAATATCAGCCTGAAATTACAATGGGCTTTAATGGAGGAATGTTGAATGTTTTTGTCACTTCATGCCATCAAGAGGCATTTTGTTTAATTATTTTTGCTTAATTATTTGTCATTTTTCAAGCTACGAGATGTTTTCCTACGTTTGTTATGAAAAATTATGTCTCAGGAATGTAGGGTTTGGGAATTATGGCAGTTTTAAAAAAAGATAGGCAAATCTCAAGATTGTTTACCCTCTAGCTGTGACATCACGCACTCTAGTTAATGTTACAATCTGAAGAAAACCTCTTTAACAAGGTCTGAACAATGTTTAATATCTCTAAAAGTAAGAATCAGATTTAAAAGTTGTTTTACACGAATAATGTCAGAAAGATGTGTAACATTTTAAATTTGGAATGAGGTTTCTGAGTGAAAGTATGAAGGAACAGTTTGCAGTTGAAGTCGCATGAAGATTTGTTGAAGTTGAAGAATTTCTCCATTGACTTCAATGGTTAAAAATGTGATGTATTATGGGATGTATCTCTGGAATTATGAAAGTTATGAATGAGAAAAGTAATAGCCATCGATTCCCGACCGAGCTGAACGTTTTTATGTTTGAACGGAGTTTCTGCGATGTTCAATGCGGGAGAAGAAGCGCGGCAAAATAAGTCGGCTGAATAATAAACTTTTCGTGCGTAGAATAACAGTTAGTTGGAATGCTGTTAACAGCATTCCCACTAAATTAGTCACCCAGTGGAAATGTCAGATATGTCTTCATAACTGTATCCTTACATTTTACATTCACTCAGTTATAATGTGGTAGTTATACGTAGTTTGTTTTAAATTATTATTGATCACATTATATAGTATGTATTTCTTAATTTAAGCTCCAGTATATATGAATATGTTTGGTGTGTTTTTTAGGTATATTTGTTATTGACCGAGTAAACACTTTTATTTTGAAGGCAGTTTTTACAGGCCTCTACCGTAATGCATAGGATATTCACGCACCGCAATACAATGTGCGGGCTTGACTGTGTTTTCCGAAGTGGGGGCTGGCTTGACCACAGTCTGTTTACCCAGTGTTTCCTGACATTAAACGTTTTATTTCACCTTGCTATGTGTTTTTAACGTATATTAAAAAACGGGGACATTTCCGGGGACAGTTTCAACCGGGAACAGGCAAAATACAAACGGGGACTGTCCCCGGAAAACGGGGACGTCTGGTCACCCTATTCTACAAGCCTGCCAGATTGTATTCTTTATTCAGTAAACTCACTATCTACAAGTCCAATGGACTCACTGTACATTTCGCAATGATAATGCAAACTGTTAATTGTAGAAAAAACCACAGTGTTGGGTATCGACAGGAAAACAGCTAGTTAATGTTAGCTAAAAGGAGATCTAGGTAATGTTAGCAAGGAGAGCTATAGGTGAAGTTAGGAAGGAGAGCTAGTTAACATAAACGAGAATGAGAGCTAGGTGACATTAGCAAGGAGAGCTAGTTAATGTTAGCTAGAAGGAGATCTAGGTAACGTTAGGAAGGAGAGTTAGTTAACATAAACTAGAATGAGAGCTGGGTAACGTAAGGAAGGAGAGCTAGTTAACATTAGCTGTAAGTTGTCTTGGGCAGCAAAGCTTTGCTTGGCATAAATAGAAGCTTTTGCTGGCATTTTGTTATGCGTGTTTATACAACATTCACATTATAATGTAATAATATGGCCCCTATTCTCAAGCTTCATAAAGCTTATTTTGTGTAAATAGTACAATGGTCCTTATCATTCTACTTTAGTCTTCCCCTTGACACTTGCTGCTCTCTCTCCCTTTTGTCCAGGAGCGGTGGTCATAGCCTTCGTGGTCTGCTGGCTGCCCTATCACGCTCGCCGCCTGATGTTTTGCTACATTTCTGAGTGGTCCGTGTAAGTAATGATTCCTTTCTCAATCTCTCGTGAGAGCGAACCTCCAGTATAACAGTTTGTTTGCTCACTTGATATGTTTGATGAAACACACCAACGCTGCTTACAGAGTGCACACACACACACAATGATCTTCACGTAGCAGAAACCCAAGTACGCACACACAGATATTGGCTCCCTCTGTCAGAGGGTCATCAGTTAAAAGCATTCTGACGGAGAGGAGCATGATGGATACATCTTCCTGATGAGATTGCTTTCATTTACCATTCTCATCCTCTGTCTTGCTGTCTCCCTCTAACAATTTTGTCCTGTATAGGCCTTGCATATGGTTTTTCTAATTCAATTGAAAAGACACCAATTCAGCAAATGAGTGTTAGTGCTGGGAAAGCCTTGTATTTCCACTCAATATGAAAGATGGGCAATGGGACGTTACTATGGTTTCCTCTGTGTTGCTGCCTGAGGAAAACAATGAGCTGAAAACATTGAGCTCATCTGCCTGCTCCTGTTGATTAAAGCTTTTATAGCCATTTGTCAGCAGTTTTGTATGCACTTTATTTCTCCATTGCTTAACATGGACACATTTAAATATTCAACCCAGTCTCACGGCATTTCGTGTTATAGTCACGAAATGTAAACTATTGATTCGTGTTCACCAACACGATTTTCCCATTTTTTTCGTGTCACACAGAACGATTTTCAAAGAAATGTATTTCTATTGGTAGTATGTTTCGTGCCTGCACCACGTATTTTAGTCCGGTTGGGTCTTGGAAGATGTGTGTTTCATAAAAACATTTTCTTACGGCCCCTACACACGGCGACGTGCATTGTCGCTTGCCGGGGGGGGTTGAAACTCGACCAACAACCAATCACATGAATCTCCCGCCCCAGACACACAAGCACGCGGTTTGATTGGCTAGAGCTTGTACTGGCATATGATTCGATTGGCTGACGCCTCCATCGAGGCGTCAAAAGTAGAACATTGCTCTACTTTTGCAGCGAGCACCGCGAGAGAAGCTACTCTTTGCTCCCACAATGCAGTTTGGCGAATCGTGACGTCACCCCATTGAAAGTGAATGGGCAGAAGCGTTGAAGCGGCAACACACGCCGTTAGTCAATATCAAGCCACAATTATTGTTTTTATTTTAAATTGTATAATGTCGGACTTTTTATGCCGTCCGTGAGGAAAATAAATGGGGCTCAGAATACTGAATTCTAAATAACACACTGTTATTTACTCAACAATAACACACAATTATCCTTGTTTTTATTTATTTGTTTAATTATATAATGTCAGGCTTTTTTGCCGTCCATCAGGAACTGAATTTCAAAATAAAATCATTAATAATATTATGTATGAAATTATTTTGTCTATTAACTAGAGCGCCGGGTCATGTTATGACCGTCTTTTCTATGTTGCTGTGGGTTTTTTCCATCGGTTTGTGGTTTAAAATATCAAAACAGTAATAAGCCTTATCAGCCATAACTATCAACAGAATTGCGTTGCCAGGCAACAGCTTTACAAACTCTTCAACTAGAACCCTTGTTATATTTAAAACAAATTTAGAAGGCCTCACAAAATACTTTAATGTAAATTAAAATTAAAATGTGAAGGAATGTATGTATAACAAAATAGATTCGTCATAAACAATACTGGAAACAGGCGTAGGCCTATATATGGGACATTTCGAGCGTCATTGCGATACACCCACTGAACTGATTACCAATAACCCTCAGCTATGGTTGAAGCTCGGTGATTGGATGTTTTAGCCGCAAAGCACGTTGTGATATGGTGTTTATGCGAGCTCCCTGAACGTTGGTAATAGACGAGTTGAGATCGCGGAGAAATGCTCTCCGCCGACCTATTCTCACAGCGTTTATCAACCGCTGGTTGTTGCGGGTTAAAAAACTGTCCAGTTTACAGTGTTAACAACATTCATTATACTGCTCAATTTTATTTTATAAAATGCCCTATTTTCCCTAAAGTAAACAAGACTCATTTCATAAATCTACCCGGTTTCTGAATTTCTGAATTTAAGGTTTTAAATTAGAAGTAGACCCATGTTCTTTTTCTAATTTACAAATTGAATATCAACAACATGGAACATTATTTTAGTCTAATGTGAGAGATTGGTTGTTGCTTAAATTAACAGATATTCATGTCTTCAAAATATTATATATATTGATAATATTGAATCTTCAATATTCAATATATTTGGTTAATATAATTATTATTTTGGGTAAAATCATATACACTGCTGTTATTGGAAAGGTATCAAGCCATCCTTTTTTTGTTTTATTAATGAATTAAAATAGTTTTTTCTATCTCTTAGAAAAAACAGTCCTGGAAAATGATATTTCAAAATGTGTATGATTTTAAGAAAGCTCCTTAATGCCTCTTTCATTATTTTGTGTAATTTAGTTTAACCCCCTGGCTCTTATTGGATGTGTTATTTATGTTTCTTGTCTTTAATGTGAATGAACTCTTATTTTGAAATGAAAAATAACCGGTAAAAAAAATACAGCTTCCTGTGTTCGAATGAGCTGCTCCGACTGTCGGTCCTGACCATGGATATATACACTGAACAAAAATATAAATGCAACACTTTTGTTTTTGCTCCCATTTTTCATGAGATGAACTCAAAGATCTAAAACATTTTCTATATACACAAAATAACCATTTCTCTCAAATATTGTTCACAAATCTGAAAAAATCTGTGATAGTGAGCACTTCTCCTTTGCCGAGATAATCCATCCCACCTCACAGGTGTGGCATATCAAGATGCTGATTAGATTTAGAATTCAGTATTTTGAGCCCCATTTATTTTCCTCACGGACGGCATGAAAGTCTGACATTATACAATTTAAAATAAAAACAATAATTGTGGCTTGATATTGAGTAAGAAAATGTTTTTATGAACCACACAGCTTCCGGTCTTCCAAGACCCAACCGGACAAAAAGACGTGCTGCAGGCACGAAACATACTACCAATAGAAATACATTGCTTTGAAAATCGTGTTGGTGAACACGAATCAATAGATTACATTTCGTGACTATAACACGAAATGCCATGAGACCGGGTTGAAATATTTGCAAGGAATTAGCAAGGGATCTCTGTTTGGCCTTAAAAAACAACACTGTGAGACACTTTGAAAATGTGCATCTTTTGAGCTCCAAAAGAGCTTGCTTGTCCATGATTGTGTTAAAGAGGACATATTCTGCTTATTCTCAGGTTCATATTAAGTGTCTCTACAGTGACATGTCTCCATGCTTTAATGTTCAAAAAGCTCCTTATTTGTCTCATACTGCCTGTGCTGCAGCACCTTTTTTCACCCTCTGTCTGAAACCAGAGCCCATTCTGCTATGATTGGTTAGCTGACCAGCTCTGTTGTGATTGGTCCACTGCTTAGAGATGTCGGAAATGTCCCGCCCCTTACATACAATGTTGGAGCCCTAGCCAACAGAAGTGCAAGTGTTACACATTGATGTTACAATGTTACTGAAGTAAACAAAGGAGTCCAATGAAGTTGCCATCAGATATGAGCAGCTGTTCCTTTTTCAAATATTAGGATTACAGAAAATATACTTGCCTGATTTACATGAAACTTGGCACAAGGGTACAGCATGTGCCAGGGAATAAGAAAACAAATTATGGAGCCAATCCGATTCAAAGGCCAAAATCAATCATTATTATTCACTTGTTGAAATAGCCTACACTCGAGTGTTCTTTTAGTAATCAAAATATTCATATTCTTCCTGGTAATAGGCAGCAATAAGAAAAAGGTGGTTCAGTCATAAATCAGTTGGAAGGACATCCAGATTATTTTTTCTGTTCTGCTTGCCTGACTCTGATTTTAAATGTTTTTTCATCGTTGACCTTCGAAATGTGTGTCCACCATGGCGAATAACTGTAATTGACCTTCCATTAGTTTTGTTTCTTGGTTCAAGACCATCATTTTTGAACATAGTACGTGTTAATAGTTTGTGGACTCACAATTTCTGTGAGATCTGTCTGAGTCCACTGTTCATTTGCTGATTTTCTTTCTTTCTTTTAGAAGTTTTTCTGTCCTCAATCTAATAGGCACCTAGTTCAGTGGAGAGCTTGTTTTTAAGACAAGACAAACACAGGGCTCCATTTTCCCAAATCAGTGGTGCAATGCCTAAATAATAGAAAAAAACTATCGTTTTTGGGGGGCGCATTGCATAATTAAGCTTATTTTCTTTAAAGAAGCACCAAGCGAAGCATCACAGGGATTGCTAACAGTCTCGACCGGTGAAATATGTTTGCTTTTCTTGCCTGGAAATAGTATTCCTCTCTGATAAACCCATGGCAGCGAGGCGTGTCATTTGTGAATCTGCTACAAGAGGAACCTGACTGATGTGCATGAGTCACAGAATCATCGGTTTTGAAAAATGCTGCACCTGAGGTCTACAGATTGTCCTATGTCGTGTGTAATTATAATGAAAAATGTGAGCAGTTTGAGAGATTCCTATCAAATTCTACTGGAGAAAAGACAGGCAACACCATCTCCATCAGTCATCCTCCATTACATGAGCAGAAACCACATAATTACCTGAGTATATATAACAAAAAGGTCAACCGTCCCTTCCAATCCTTCCCTCATTCATCTTTAATGGTGTCCCTGTATGCAGACAGACACACACTGCATTGACTTTCTGCATGCTTCAATGACCCTTGTCCATTGCATAAGCGGAATAGATCAATACCCCAGATTCTAGTAACTGAGATATCGCGTGGGAGTATCTCCACTGTGTGAGGTCATTGATGTGTTATGACCTATAACCCTTTTGCTTTCACTCAAGAGTCTATTATCTGTGTGTATCAAGCTGTGTTACATATCCCCCTGTTTAATATCCAATCATCCTGCTTTGGCTGTGCACATAATGAAATACTATATAATCCAGCGAGAGCATGGATTGATTACTGAACGGTGACTGTGCCCAGTGCCCAAGGTTTTAAGGGCCCCTCGGCCAAAACAGCTAGAACATGTGACACAGAAAGACGTCTGAGAGACGGAATACAGATGAAAAAGGAGCTAAACAACCACAGACAGAATATTAGTACAAAAATATCAAGACACTAAGTTACTTGAAGGTTCTAAATAGACAAACATTTTCCACAAAGAGTTGCATAACTACTACATTATATCTCTAAGTATGTGTGTCATGTTCATTGGGAATCGTCTCTGCTGCAACTAAAATGCAAATGTTTGTATCAGTATACACTGTTTATCATTCATACTGTAAGCCTTTTTCGTCTTATCAACCTATTTGGCCATACTTATATGCTTTAGATTTTTTTGTTCATACAATGTTAGTGTTACGTACATTAGTGTTCAATGGCAGGATGGAATGTTTGGGTCTGACAGACTGAGGGAGTGAGTGGGCCCTTCATAATGTTCATCATATCAATTCATCTCCAAAGGCAACACAGACTGTTAAACAGCGGGGGGCTTACATTGTTAATCTTTAAGTCCGATGTAGCCCTGTTGCTGTTTACAAAATCACCCTTCTGGTCATTTGCCATCACTAAAAGTACACCTATGGGGGAGTACCACTGGGAAAGGCAGAATCCAATACATGTTGGATATTAATCATGGGGTGGATATAATTAAAAATGTCATTGCAAGACAGGGTCAGCGTTGTTACTACCCCCCCCCCCCCTATTTTCCAGTGTTTCCTATAGCTTTTTTTCTAACGCACAAATTGAAAATGGACAAGTGGAGGAAAAGCACTTGTTTATGCACAAAGAACATCAAAGAAAGGGTATCTCTTGTGGCAATGAGTTTATTTAGCGAACACTAAAGAAGCCTAGCTTGCTAGCTTGTACTTATAGAGTGGAAAAACAATATAAACGCATTAAGACTTCCCCCAAAATGCTGAAAGGAACAGGCATCTCATCATGAATGGTTGATAGTTAATGCCAGTGGGCTTTTTAGAAAAAGGGAAAGTCACTTCCTTTTATCAACATTCATAGGATATATCATTATTACACGCTCCTCTAAGTAACACACCACTAAAGCATGAATCCTATGAACAATGATTTGCAAGTATCTGTCAACTGCTGCCATGGGAAACCTGCAGTCTGAGGCACAAATGTGTCCAAAACATAAATGGAGAAATATAATATCTGCAAACTTTAGAGGATGTAATTTGTAGTCCATTTAAGTTTGTTTTCCCATTTGTCATCCTGTCTTATGTAATCTTCATATCCATAATGCTCCTCTCCTGCTGTGTAGCTTCCTCTCCCTTCTCCTGTCTGACTGCAGTTAGAGGGACAGTCACAACACTCAGTTAAAAACCTCACTTGTGTATGGCAGAGCAAATACATAAAATTGCATATAATTAAATATATTTTGCATTGGAAACAGTAGAATGCCTGCCAAATGCACTTCCAGCGGAGAAAATGTTTCTTCTTCCCATCATTTCCCTGTATTTGTTACACTATGAATACACCAGAAAATAGTGGGAAGCCTGCACAGCAAACCTGGAGACATTTTACTCTTAATGACTTTGAAAGTATGTCTAGTAGTGGACCAGCAGAGCCTGAAATGAACAGTGACATCCAAAGAAAAGATTATTGGGTTAGATGAATACATTCTCAGCAGTCATCACTCTCTCTGGTTGGCTGAACAAATCTTCTACGACAGTTGATTCTCCACCAAATGTTTTTTTTTTTTTTAAATTAACTTCCCAGGAGAATAAAGCTGTTATTCTCTAATCTCATTACACAGAATTTTTTTTACAGTCACCCTATGTGTTGATTGTGCTTCAGGGCAGGAATTTACATATGACCAACTTGAAATGGTGGCCCAGATTACAGCAGCTCATATGTGTTTATACAGTGTGAAAGTTAACACTGACAGAGGCCCTTTTATGCTTTTTGGGGGTGTTCCCTTTCCTGTAGTGTGTTATGTTAGTTGTTATGCATGGAAATGGTCTGCAAAGGCTTACATCCCTGTGTTCCAGAGTTTGTCTTCCAAACACTTTCTCTCTCTCCCCCCCCCATTGGACTCCTTTGTTACGCCTAAAACATAGTGACATCACTATGTAACATATGTGCTTCTGTTGGCTAACGCTCCAACACATTGCACGTGATAGGGTAAGGGCAGTACATCTATGTACTTTTTTCCAACACGACACAGCCGTCTAGCTAACTAATCAGAGCAGACTGGACAGAGGGTGAAAAGAGGTGCTGCAGCACAGGCAGTGTGAGAAAAATAAGTTAGCTCAAAATTCAGTTGATACAGATTAAAAGGAACTAGTTAACGTTTATAGTACTCAATTTTAAATTCAAGTTAATTTCAAAAGTCTTGAAACAAGTGCACATAAAAAATCATATAAGAAAGCATTGGGGTTCAACATGCCACATATTTACATATACCAATGGCTTTCTGTCTTCTCTTTCCTCTCAGTGACTTGTATGACTTCTACCACTATTTCTACATGCTGACCAACATCCTGTTCTACGTCAGCTCGGCCGTCAATCCGATCCTCTACAACCTGGTGTCGGCCACCTACCGGCAGATCTTCTTCTCCACGCTGCGCTACTTCTGCGTGCCCTGCCGCCAAACTCCCAGGATGCACCCTCATCCCTTAACCCGCCACTCCATCAGTATCTCCAGCAACCACACCCTCTCCACCAACATCATCAAAGAGACGTCGTACTGATTGGGCTGAAAATGAATACACTTCTATAAACCCATCCACTGGTCCTTTGTGAATATACGTTCAACTGAATCAAATTAGTTCTGAAACTGGTTTGGAAACGATTGGCACAGGCTGATCCGGAACTGGAATGATCATTATCGTCATGTGCCCTGAGAACGCTGTGATTTTATTACAGATTGTGTGTTACTGCTGTTGTGTGTATATTTGTTTAACATGATATTGGACAAAGAGAAAAACGAAATATGACAATGGAAGACTTGTTTGGTGTTGTGCAGTTTGCAGTGTACTCTACTATGTTGTTGTTTGAATTTAGTATTTTTCACAAAAATATTGCATGTTCCAATACTTTCACTATTACAAAAGTTTGTTGTGCGTCGGCAACTGTGTTAAATGTTTTTTGTTAGTTTAGTTATTCCACTTCCTGTTTTATTTTGTATTCACCTTAGAGGTTTCTCAATACTCAAATTTCCCCTCCTCGGTCCTCCGGTAGTGACCCGGAAATTAATTTCAGCGCGCCATTTTGAAGGACATCTAATTTCTCTAAATGCACATCGAGGACCGAGGATCGAGCGTCGAGGAGGCTCTCACCGAGGATAAACTGATGGTTGCTCCTCCGCGGATGCATTTCCGGGAACGGTGGAGGCGTGACGCATGGCCGGACTTATCTCAGCCAATGACAGCTCTGCATGCATCCCCTGGATATTATTTTAGAAACTGCTTTCATCGCGTCACGATGTTTCCAGAGAGAACAGCTGTAAGGTCCGTGCAGAAAGCAGAGCAGTGTGTATAATGTATAACAGGCCTACTCTCTTTATTTGCTTTAGTTTAGTAGATATCTACAAACAAAGAGTCGATATTTTTCTAAAACCATTTAGTGCTCCACATAATAAAATATATAACGGCTGTAGCCTGATTATGCTTTAGGAGCTGTAGGTGTGTGTGTGGTACAGTGTGTAGGTGTGTGTTGTACAGTGTGTGTGTGTGTGTGTGTGTGTGTGTGTGTGTGTGTGTGTGTGTGTGGTACAGTGTGCAGGTGTGTGTATGGTACAGTGCGTAGATGCGGCGGACAGACGGGTCTCAGTTGGTTTGGTGTCCTCTGCTTACTTTTAATAGGCCTACTTGTAAATACAACTTTTGGCCCGTAATTTCATTTCCCCATTTCAGCGACCAGAGAGAGGCGGGGATATATCCAGTCTCTGATTGTGTTACCTTATTATGAGAGTGCTCTCATACTTTAAATTGTATATATTTATATAAATATACAGGGTTGGGTTGTAACGGAATACATGTAACGGCGTTACGTAATCAGAATACAAAAATCAAGTAACTGTATTCAGCTCGCGTTACATTTGAAAAACGAGTAATCTGATTACAGTTACTTTCGTAAACCTGAAGTGAATACATTTTGGAATTATTGATGGAAAGATTTCCTCACAACATTTAATATTCATTACTAAAAAGGTACAGCCGAATCATCACAGCCCACAAAACCTATTACCGGCGCAAGTACCAAAAAAGCGTTTGAAAATAAATCGCGGGTCCGCTCGCTCAGTGAAACAATAACAACGAAACATGGAGGAACAAAAGTCTACGTTTAAATCGTGTGTGTGTGTGTGTGTGTGTGTGTGTGGTTAAAACACATCAGCCACACCAACACACTCTCACTCCCTAAGCGTCCAGGAGCGACGTTTGGTCAGTGTCCGTGGCGTCCGGTTGTGACGCTCCTAGGCTCCTTCAGCGTCATAAAGGGACGCAAATAGCACATGGGGTTTGTCAAACAGAGCACATGGTGTAGTCCAAACGATAGCTGGGGATTCTGGGTAGTGTAGTGTCTTCTGCCATCCTTTACTCCGAAAAAAATATTTGTTTCTCCGAATCGAAGGGGAAAAATACAAAAGCATTGCACACAATTTAAACCAATCAATGTTGTGTAATTAACAAGGATAATCTGGTGTTTTTTAGTCGATGAGTAGTGCAGATATCACTGTAAAATCAATCGACAGTAAGGAGAATACTTACTTCCGGGTGTACAATTCTCCGTTATCCAATGGGAATGGACGCTCACATTGCCTTTAAGGGCAGCCGACACAAACGAATGCCGTGCTTCCATGAGCGTCAAATCCCGCCGCAGATGGGAATACATTGCAATCAGTTGAAAGCTATTTGCGTCCCTTTATGACGCTGAAGGAGCCTAGGAGCGTCACAACTGGACGCCACGGACACTGACTAAACGTTGCTCCTGGACGCTTAGGGAGTGAGAGTGTGTTGATTAAAACAGTAAAAACATGTTCAGTTTCCTTTTGCTTTTTGTGTCTCCTGTTCACCAAAACATACCCATCTGTGAAAAAAAAAGTAATCCAAAAGTAGTCTAAAAGTAATCTGATTACGTTACTTTTTTAAGACACGTAACTGTATTCGGATTTCAGAGCCATGTATTCAGTAATTGATTACATTTACAAAGTAACCCTCCCAACCCTGTAAATATATGTGTGTCCGCATCTGTAGCCTGTTATTGTCTCATTATACCGCACTGTCAATGAATCAAAATAAATATATAAGTCATCATGAACACATCTGTCCATCAGACAGAGGGCTGCTGTGCCTCCTGTCATCATTAATGGACGTCTCTTTAAAATGACCTCTCAGAGGAGAGGAGTTCTCATTTCTCTAACCGCCTGCTGCTTCCCCTCCTCTCTCCTCGGTTCTCCTCCTCAGTCCACTGCTCGCATCTCCTGTGGGCGGGACTAAGTATCGAGGATAGGAGTCGAGGAGGGGACATTTAAGAATTGAGAAACCTCTAATGTCTCGTTCATGGTTCCTTTTCTTCCTGCCTTGGGACCCTTCTCACTTCTCTTATTTTGAATTTCCTTGCTCCTCGGTCTCACCGGAAGTTGATTTGTCTGCGCCATCTTGAGTAGCGTCCCAATGGCCTTATTTTTGCCGGAGGAGCGAGGAGCGATAATGGAGGAGCTATAACCGAGGAACCACCAGACCATCCTTCGATGAAATCCTCAGACACTCGCCCCGCCCCCTTACTGTGTATCGCTCACTGATTGGACGATGCAGTGCATGCACTGATCTGATGCTTCTTGACATGAGAGCAGTTTCCCAGCGGAGTGAAGAAAACACATGAAACTCACGAGACTCACTCCTCAGTTTATACTGTGTTTTGTTTCAATTCATGTATCATTTAGTTACAAATATGTGATATATCTGAACAACAAAGTGGTCAAAAATCATTTTCTGTTAACATTTTCATGATCGCTTTTTTCGTTTTACATTTTCATTTATTGTCATTTCCATTCAGTCAGTCATTAAGTGCTATTAAAATGTTAATTTGCTACATATACAAACAAACAAAGTGTACAATCCAATGAATGTTAATCTAACTGGGTTTTGATAGATAATATATCTCTTTTTCTTCTCTCAATTATTTTATTTCTATTGTGCACTCTAATCAATATTAATCAAACTATTGTTCGTTTATACATTTTAAGAATGGCGTTTAATTTTTGATTTTAATTTGATTTTATTTATTTGGGTCTACAACAGATGATACAAATGTTAGTGTCAGTAAATGTGTACGGAAATAACGGGGACAGAGTTGGCTGCTGTCAGATGATCAGCTGTGCAGCGTCATCACAAACGGACATCGCTTCACGTGACGCTCCGGAGGAAAGGACGTCCCATTGCTCTTAAAACTAATTTCCCTGCTTCTCGTGGTTTCCTTGCATCTCTACATGCTTCCCTGGTGGGAGGGACTAGTCGCAGGGAAACGACGCAAGTGAGGGACCCAAGGAATCCATTTAACCAAAGTGAGAAGGGCCCCCGGTTGTTTTCCCGCCATCATCAGTGTCTGCCCCGCCCCTGATTGTTTCCACCTGTGCCCACTTCTCTCTTGTATATAGTGTCCTGTCTTCCTTTGTTTGTTGCCAGCTTGTCTTTTGTCTTTTGCCAAACTCTCCAGCGTTATCCTATTTGCATCTAAGTATCTAAGTATCTAAGTTATAGTCATTGTCCTTAGATTTAGTTATAGAAAGGTAAGATCAGGGGCCTCATGTATAACGCCGTGCGTAGGATTCACGTGGGAAGGTTGCTTACGTAGTAGAAATCCGAAAAATAGGTATATACATTTTCCGCCACTTCCCGATTCACCAAACATTGCGCACCGGCGAGGAAAGTGCGTACAGCACTTCCTACGCCGGTTTCCCTTTATAAATCACAACCGACTCGAAATGCAGTGCAGCTTTTGCGGGCTTCACGTAACGCCCATATTTGCCTATAAATAGTCAAAGAAACGCCCATTCATTCATTCATTCTGACTGACTTTATGAAGAAGATCGCAGGAAATGTCGACAGAACAGCTAAAAAAGACATCTCACACCGTGTCAGATTCTGGTTATTTTGGGGAGGTCGAGATAAATCATATTGTTTGGTGGATGCAGTTTGAACCAGAGTAGCAGCATGGAGGTCGGATCGTCACTAAAATAAATAAATAAATGGCCCGAAAAAGGTTAATGACAAAAACAATACACATCCTTCCTCAGGCAGTGTATTTGTACCGGGGACAGGAGACACCCCCTTGATGAGAAACTGTAAGAAGTGAACGGGGAATCCCCCCGGTGTGGAGTCATGACGACTGGATCTGAATTATTTGTTTGTATTTGGTGGTTTGTGTCCCAGCTGTCAATCAGCTGTGTACAGCCTCTCCACTGCAGCCTGTGCGTCTCAACCCCCCCCCCCCCCCCCCCCCCCCCCCCCGCAGCAACCCTATATCCACCAGTTAAAGGAAATACAACTAATGTGTCGTGTTATATTAGCTGTACAATTACAATATGGTGTTCTTAGCTTCCATACCTCCTGTGTTTTACGAGCGACTTATCAAGTCTTGGCAAACGGCATAAAACACGATTAAAAGTGATAGTATATAAAACCATGCTCGTATCTACAACCTATAGAAATGCAACACGGCGTCAGTTTAGACGTAAGTCTGTCCTCCTGCTTACCGCATCATTTATGAGAAAACATTTCATAACATTAACACAACATATTCCAGGTGGTTTTAAATAACATATCCGTATTTATTTATTTCTCCAAGTTATGTTTTTGTGTGCAGTGAGGAGTCGCAAACAGGCGTTTGTTTAATCATTTTAAGATTGGCTTTAATCAATGTTTGAAAATGAATTCTTCATATATGATAAATGAGAGGTAACATTTTATTTATGGTATCATTTCCACATATTTCTCTCCATCCTTCCTTCTGCCAACGGTGTCGCAGTTTCTCGTCTCTCCCGTTTTTGTGCTTAGTGCGTACGCATGGGTTAGAGTTTGCGTGGAGGACCGCACGTTTTCCCGTCAAGTTAGTATTTTATAAATCGCAAACATTGCGTAGAAACTGGCGTACGCCATTTTTTGAGCGTATATCGCTTTATAAATGAGGCCCCAGGTAGAAGTATTTTTGTAGTTATTAGTTAGGTAAAAATGTGTGTAATTCTTTATTGTATATATTTTTGTACTGT